TTGTGCCAAACTCTCGGGGGGCACATTTGTTGCTGTTGTTGCGCTGATGTTGCTGAGGGGGAGCGACATTGTTTACGGCTACAACTGTTTGTCGTTGTCGTGTTGCTGTTGCCGCTGCTGCTGCTGGATGATGCCAAAATTGATGACCATAATCTTCGGCGCAGGGAGCTGGGCAAAAGGATGCGCTTTTTATGATGAAGCGCCGAGTTGCAGCCCAAAAACAACCACCGACTATTGTTTCACCCACTAACTACCACCCACTGACAAAAAAAAGAGAAAAATTTCCCCTTATTTTTGTCATTTTTTCTCTTTTGTAATTTAAAACTATGTATTATACATTTAAAAATTTCTGCCAAGCCAATTTATATATTTATTTCTTTTTAGTCTCTAGTTTCGTTCAATATTATAGTTTTTCTTCTGATTTTAGGAACATTGCGCGTTAGAAAGTAAAAATATCTATTCAATACTGCTATGATTTTTTTTATAGTTATGTAGCTATTTTAAAAGAAGAAATATTTAAACATAATATGAAACTATAGCAATGATTTTTGCTCAGTGCACCCACTTTTCCTTCCCCTGTTGCAACAACATTATTCATTGGGGGTTCCAAAGAAGCAGGAGCGGAAGCATATTTTATGTTTTAACGTTGCCGAAATTGAGAAGCAACAACAACATCTCATACATCAGCATTTAGAGACCCCTCGTCCTGGGAAAATAAACGGAAAAAGGGGATTTCTCCCGAAGGGGCGGACGTTTGTCTTGCGGTTTTCGCGCTTGCAATTCGGTTCGCTTTTTTTTGCCTTTTTTTATGCTGACAGCAATTGTTGCTGTAGCCGCCTGCTTTTACCGCCTCTGCCGCTTGCAATTTAGCGGCTTAAGCGCAATATTTACAACGCATTTTGAAGTGTGTTTCGTGTGCCATAAAACGAATGAATAAATAAGCTGACAGGTGCAGGAAACAGACTCAGCGGAAGATTTTAAAAGATCCAACAAATGACAAAAGGAGACGACACTGTTAAGCTGTTAAGCCAAACAAATGGGGTCCGCATGAATTATTGAAAAAGAGTTATGGCAATTAATGGTTCAGCGGAAATTTAAACCTTCCTAAGAGTTTCCCAAGTGGTACATCGACAAAAAGTCATTTCATAATGACATATGATTAAACACTAAAAAGTATTTAACAAGCTTATTTACTAAAGAGTAAAATCATCGATATGATCATAAAATCTAACTAGATTAATTAGAGACATCTATGCAGTTTTTCTGTGTATATGAAAAGATATTTTCGAGTATTCACGAGGCGAATCGGCTTAATGATCGCCACTATTAACGATTATTTGTGCGCATATAGTATTTGAGAAAACGGCTTGTCTCTCAGCAAATTGCCCATAGAAATGACGCCTCATTGGCCCCATTCTTGCTAGGCAAGCAAGCAAGCAGAAAAGCACAGCAGCACAAAAACAGAAAATCAGAGAATCCCAGAAGGAACGCCTTCTGCTTCATTTGCCAGCTATCAATTAAAGCTAACCGACCGCGTCGCGTTTTGCTTAAGTTCATCAATTTTCCGATCCGATTGGGTTACAGTATTTGCACTTGCGTTTTAATTGAACGTTTCGGGCCTGGGGTAAATTATGTGACAGCTACGCCAAAAGCAAACAGAGGAAACCAAAACAAAGCGACCAGCAAACAAACAAACATTTGCTCGCCACCCAGAAAAGAAATCGACTGGAGAGTTGGTAGCCCAATGCAAGTCAAATGTTTTAAAAATAAGCAATGCATTTTGGTATGGCGAAAGGGGGTAGACGAGGGGCCAAAACCGGGCGTGGCTGGCAGCTGCATTTATGTTTTGGCAATAAAATGCAAATGGTAAAAAGGTCCATACAAAATTTCAAGTCGAGAGAGCATTTTTAGCTTTCGATATGCTTAGGCTACTTTAAAAAAGATTTTATGGGTGCCTGCCTCGGATGATTTCAGTTTCTATCCTCTCCTACACGGAGAAAAGTGTGGAAATGTTTTTAAATAATTTCACGGGTCAAGATAAATTATAAAAATTAAAAAAAAAATATTTTAGTAAAATAGTGAGCAGTTATATAAAACATTTTGTATCTTTATAATCGCATTCAACATACAATACATGCTTAACATGGTATTAATGTATTTTTATGATTATTAATGAAAAACTTCGTGAATTGTTCTTTTCTGTGTACTTTTTGTTGTGTTTTTCGAACAGCTTTCAATCGCTGGCTGCCGCAGTTGCTTCCTCTGCCTCCTGTTGCTGATGCACATTTGCTATGCTGTTTGGGGCCAACAGCAACATCAACAGCAACAGCAGCAGCAACTAAAAACTGTAAAGTCCATAAAATGCTTTTGCCGCAGCACAAAGGGATTTATATATGTGCTTTGCTCGTTTACCTGTGTGTCTGTGTGTGTGTGTGTGTGTTTGTTGAATATTTTACGTTTCTGAAAATTTGATGAATCTCCACAAATGCACAGGGAAAATGAGGGATAAACCGGGAGCAAAAAAAAGAGCACTCAAAGCGGTAGCTGAAACACAGCACAACTTCAGCGTCATCATCGCACGAGGAAAATATCCATCAACACTTTTGTTTTACGGCGCTATCTTGTTCTCAATGCCACTCCCCCACATGTTTGCTGGCACACATCCGTCCGTCTGTCCATCAATTTGTTGTTGGTTGTTTGGCCTAACCACCAACTCTTCACAGTTTGTTTTGCTTTGTGGCCATTTTAATAGCTTTCGACTACTTTGTATCTGTAAGATTCGAAACCATCGCTGCTGCATACGAGTACAGTGTATAGCTGGCGGCTAAAATTTGTAATATTAAAGTGCTTACTCAAAGAAGACTGTCTCCTGTGTCGTCTGGCTAATTGTTTTAGCCATTTGCTCTGCTAATTGTCTGTCCATTTTGCCCCCTAAACGTTTTGCCAAAAGGATTAACTCCGAGTTTCCCCCTATTTCCTTTTCTCTGTGGGCTTACGGTTTGTAATTCCTCAATGTTTTCAATGGCTAAGGCGACATACATTATCCAAAACTTGAAATGGGTAGAAGGGGAGTCATGTTCTGGGGGCTTTGGGCTAATACGCTTTGCATTGCACTTGCCACAACAACAGAGACAATAACCAAATCGGATGTGATAACAATACAAAGCTTACACGACGACTTACATGGACTTTGAGCTGTAATTGAAGACCCCAAGGGTGTTGGCTGGGGAATTACAAACTCCCAAAAGAGCTTATGGCGGAGAGATCAGCAGATCGACATGTGTCAATTCACAAAAGCTAAAACTTGTATGCATCTCCACACAAATTTTCTTATGACGTTATATGAAACAAATGATATAATAACCAAAAATACTTAGAAGGTGCATTGCCCTCACAAAAAAAAAAAAAGGTATAGCTATTTTTTGATGAAGTATCAGATTTTATTTGAATATAAGATATAAATTTTAAAAATCAGTTTGTTCAGTTACATTAAAAAACTTTAATTACTGGAATTGTTTATGACTTATTATTACAATGATAAAAAATAATTCTCGGATTGATTTAAGTAAAATCGTCAATTTTATATAATGAAAATCAATTGCTTTACGGAAATACCGATGTAAGTAAAAAATTAACAATTTACATCGTTGAGAGGTGTTTTGGTTTGGTTAAATAATTATTATTAAAAAAAAACATAAATAACGGTTATCAAACTAATTAAAAAGCTCTCCAAAATATTCCACAACCAAAATTAAAACCTTTCTGCCACCTGACCACCACCCAATCAAATTCCAATCCAGACTACTTTTCCGTCAATCGACAAATGATATTTTAATCAATCCGAAAACTACGTCAAATATCAAAATAAAACAGCGGGAGATAAATAGATAAAAATTGGCCAGCCGCAGCCACAGATTTGTGGATCCAAACAAATGCCACAAGTGTAGCCAAAAACGAAAGCAAACTACTTGTAAACATTTTAAACATTCAATTAATTAATTAATTGCGAAAATGTGGCAAATTAATTTCCCATCAAAAGTGAGCACGCGGATGAGTATGCGGAAAATGTAGAACAAATCCGAATGGAAATATTATTAACAGACTTTGAGTGGCGAAAGTTGAGATCGAAATGGGGAGCAGCTGAGGCAGATGAACCGAAGAATAAAAGTGGAATATTGGTGCCTCGGGGCGCAGACGGAAATAGTCAGATATTCAGATAGTCCGATAGCCGCAGATATGCTGAGCTCGTTACTCATAAGCCAATTTACGATGCACTTAAGTTTTATGAGAATTTAAGATTTCCTGCAAATCAGCATACTCTAAAACCCCGAGGCGGAGTGGGTGCCACAAAATGATAACCGAAGCTGGACAGGAAGCCAGTGAGGTATAGCGGCGGCTTCTTTTTGAAAAAATGAAACACAAGCTCACAAGCTCTAAAATAACTGGAAAAAGTTATAGCATGGAGTTCCCATGAGAAACCAATTCAAGTGAATTTCTCTATGCCATTCTTAGAAGCCAAATCAGTGGAAAACTGATAAGAAAAAGCACACTAAGATATGTTGTAACTTTTGTTAAATCAAATAAAAGTTCCACAGATGTATGTCAGTTTATTGTTAGCTGTAAAACTTTACTGGTCTAAATACATGTTGTGTAATTTATTAAGGTTTTTGGTTTGGAATTTTAGAAATCAATTTACGTTGAATCGGTATTTTTATCTTTTACTTTTCATATATTGTTTTCTTCAAAAAAAATAGATTGCGTAATAAATATAGTATGTAAAGCAAAATAATTTTTAATAACCAGTCCAACAAATTTACAAAAACTGAACTAAAACAACATACAAAATATAAATCAAATGTCCTGTATAAATATAGCACCAAAGCTATTACTGCCTTAAATATTATAGAATCGAGTAGAACTTAATGAAGCCATAGTTTCAAATAAGTATTAATTAAGCTTGATATTTTTCTAAACCAACGTACTCACTTCTCCTCTTCCAGTGAACATTTCATTTCGGAGCACACGGTGATGGCGGTGTTTACATCGCAGGGTCAAGTGGGAGGTCCGTGCAGATATATGCCGGCCACGCGGCGCCAGAACCACCAGTGCCGCAAGGAGACGGGTCTGCCGGGAACCCTCAGCGAAGCCCGTCGCCTGGCCACCACCCACTGCGAGGAGCAGTTCCGCTACGATCGCTGGAACTGCTCCATCGAGACGCGCGGCAAGCGAAACATCTTCAAGAAGCTCTACAAGGAGACGGCCTTCGTCCACGCCCTCACGGCCGCCGCGATGACCCACTCGATAGCCAGGGCCTGTGCCGAGGGCCGGATGACCAAGTGCAGCTGCGGCCCCAAGAAGCACAATCGGGAGGCACAGGACTTCCAGTGGGGCGGCTGCAACGACAACTTGAAGCACGGCAAGCGGGTGACGCGCAGCTTTCTGGACTTGCGCGGCGGCGAAGGGGACGAGGTCAGCGAGATATTGCGACATGACTCAGAGGTAAATATGCAGTACATGAAAAATAAAGTTGGTTTGGAATTAATACAATATGCTGACTTCTACGAATTCTAAAGGCTAGGTCTTTAAATATATAAGCTTACAATAGCCAAATAGATATTTATTCTAGCTTTCTTTCTTGTCTCTGTCATTTAAGCCGGTTAGAAAATTTAATTGTCAATATCTAATTAAACAGTAAAAATTTTAGAAAGATTTCCATTTTCAGTAATTAAAGAGTGTTGAATGCTTTTGCTAAAAAAGATTGAAATGGGTTACATATTTTGGAAGAGAGCAATACAAACCGAAATAATTACACATTGAATCTGTAAAAATACGCATCAATAAGTGCACATTTTTAATAATTAAACTTTTCGTACAGGTCGGCATAGAGGCTGTCTCCTCGCAGATGATGGACAAGTGCAAGTGCCATGGTGTCTCCGGATCCTGTTCTATGAAGACTTGCTGGAAGAAGATGGCCGACTTTAATGCCACGGCTACGTTGTTGAGGCAAAAATACAACGAGGCCATCCGCAAGGCGCCCAACCAGCGCTCTATGCGACAGGTCTCGTCGAGTCGTATGAAAAAGCCAAAGCAACGACGCAAGAAAGTGAGTTTTCTGACAAAAATATTATAATGTAATCATAGAAATCCTGAGAATTGAGTGAAAAATATTAAAAATATTGGTGAAAATGATAGAAAAAGATTAATACTAATGATCAGCTTCTTGTGGCAACATTTTAAATATTCAAACACTAGTGCATTTCGAATATCGATGACATTTATCTTTTAAAATATTCTTATATCATTTTCAAACATAATTTGACATAAGTTTACGGATACCTCATTGTTTTGACATCAGTATTTTATGCTAACGCTTTTCTTGAACACCATTATAAAAAGGCCACTAAAAATGTTAAAAAATCTGCCTTTGCAGCCCCAACAATCGCAATACACGACGCTGTACTATCTGGAGACCTCGCCCTCCTACTGCGCGGTCACCAAGGATCGCCAGTGCCTGCATCCGGACAATTGTGGGACCCTGTGCTGTGGGCGTGGCTACACCACGCAGGTGGTGAAGCAGGTGGAGAAGTGCCGATGTCGCTTCAATAATGGACGATGCTGCCAACTGATCTGCGACTATTGCCAGCGATTCGAGGATAAATACTTTTGTAAATAGACGGATCGCCATCACTTGCCGTCTTTCGCCCCCATCTCTCTCTCTCTCTCTCTATCCTTGTGCTCTTTGAAAATGTAATTTGTAAAGTTTTTTTCTACCTTTATGGCTTGTAATTTTTTTCCATTCCTAACAAATATTATTGAAATGATAAGCAAAATGAACGAAATGATTCGCAGAATGATAGAAAACGCTCAGAAAGCTAAGGGCTCAGCTAAAGGCCAAACTCACCTAATCACACATACATACTCACATGCATACACACACACACAGACACACACAAGCGCATACATGCATCTATCTATAAATTTACTATATAGTAAACATTAGCTACCGTCGCAAAGAAAAAATCTCAAAAAAAATGGCAAAACTTCATTTAGCAAAACGGAAAAACCACAAAAAAAACACAACACACACACACAAAGAACAACAAAAAAGCAGACGCTAACAACACACAGCAACAAAAAGGAAAAATAAAAACAAAAACAATTTTAATAAGTATTTAAACATACAAAACAAACCAAAAAAAATACAAAACTGAAATGAAATAAAAAGTTTCACATAAAAATAAAAGACGAATTTATTTTTAATTCTGGGTCGGTATATAAAAAATATTAAAGGTGAATTAAATTTAAATTATAGACTAGTAGGTTACGTACAAAAATAAAAAGGAACTTCCAAAAATTATAGATAAAAATAGGGAATTTTGTTTGAACTTTCAAACCAAATTTAATTGCTTGAGCCTTCGAGCATTTGAGGCGGCTTAAATTGCGTTGGACGGTCATGCGTATATTTGACGCGTTTTTACCGCGACTTTCTCATCAATGGTTGGGAACTTGGAAAACTATTCATGTAGAGAATCGGTTGGTCAACTTTAGCAAAGACTTAAACCAATGTTGAAATCCAAGATAACACATAACACAGCTCAACAAAATTTTTTTTTTTTGTGTTGCAGACCTAATGGCACGTGATAAATTTGGCGTAGTTTTCAAGTACAGCTATAGTTTACCAGTTTTAGTAAGATTTTCGCAAATAAAAAGACTTATTAGTCTTCTATTTTAAGTTGAGAAAGAAGACTTGAAATACATGTAAATGGCCGGCTGTAATTCCTAGGGGCTTAATAAAGGGCGTTTTAAGACTTAGAAAGGATAAACAAACTTTGAGTATTCAAAAAACAATAACGCACGTTATGGATCGAACAATTTAACCTTCAGTAAGAATAGAGAGGATCAAAAAGTTGCCAGTACTTTATGAATAATAATGCTCATTGTAGATCGTTATTAATTATAAATTAAAATATACCCTAAATAAATAAATATAAATAGTTTTCTGTTGACACAACCTAAGTTACAACATTTCATACAAAAATTGTTATTTATAATCAAAATTTTAATTAATTTTTTGTTCGGCAAACAACAGTGTTGTGCAGCCATGCAAACACTTGAGCAATTAACGTATTGACGCTATAAAAAATTCGATTCATCACCTTATTGTGGCCGATCTGGCCAATGACAATATGGCAAACTCTTATCATCTTTGGGTCGGTTACATTGATCGCCAGTATCAGTGTCAATGGCCGTTCTGAGGCCGTTTCAACAGCTTCAAACCTGACAGAACCCGACAAATATAACCCCCAGCCTGAACAAAATCAAAAGCCTCATGTGTTAGGTAACTGGTTTTATCAATTGTTAAATTGACTGCTCACGATGTCCACGCAACATTTCTTAGCACGAGACAGAGCCCAAAACCTTACCTAACCCCTATGAAAAGACCCGGGTCTTTTTGCTTAAGTTTTGTTTTCGAGGGAACTTCAAATAGTAGCTTGTATATAGTCAAACTTCCATAAAACAAACTTATTTTGCTCTGCACTCATGGCTCAAACAAAAATATTCTTTATTTAGAAAAATTACATTTTTGTAATAAATGAATTTGTTTTGTATACCCAACATAGTTAGAATACTGCAGAATAAATATACTTTTTAATGTATAATTTGTTATTATAAAATTATATAATTATTTGATAGCCCTTTTTTTGTAAACAAATGTGTGAATTTTAAAACAAAAACATTTTAAAATATTTTTACTATTTTAATATTTTGTGATTTCCCAATAAATTAAAGCTTTATGTTTGTCTATTTTTTTAGCTCGAAGTTTGTAGATGTAAAACATTTACTGTATTTTATTGGTGTGTTACTTATTCCCCCTTAAGGCATTTGAGCCATCTGTCATGTCTCACGTTGTAGGATCTCCCACTTTTCACTTGCCATTTGTGAAATTGATACGCTTCTGTCAACATTATTCAGCAAGTGTTGCGTGCTGAGTCCCGAAAAACTGTTGCATGTGCCGCATAACAAGGATACCACAGATAACAGGTTAAAGGGCAAACCTTTTTGAGATACCAGCCAAGCGGTTTCCATTTAGTAAGCGCCTTAAAAAAAATATTTGCGATGTAAACTGGAGTACTCGTGGTCTTTATTTGATTGAAATTTTTTGGCTTGCGGGCAAATATTGATTGAGAACAAACGCCTCGAGGAGGTACAGATTTTTACATAAAGCAGCTGGAAAATCGTGAAGATTTCACCAGGCAGGCAAGACATATTACACGCGAAAGCCATTTGGTAATGACAGGACAGAAAGTCGCCCTAAGCTTATTCACCAAACATGTATTTTTTCGCCAGCTGACATTTCGGAATGTGACAAAGACAAGGTCAAAAAGTCGGAAAAGAGGGAAGGCAGATATTTAACATTCATTTCAAGTGTTCCTCAAAGAGAATTTTTGTCTGTTTGGAATACTACGAAGGTGTAGCTAACATAATAATAACGATGGATGGATGTCTGCACTTACATAAATTTAATGGATTTACATTTACTGCCATTTACTGACATTTTTATATTTTTGTTTGAACAGTGTCAAAAACATGACCATATATCTTTCATACCTATACTTTGGTAACTATAATATATTTTCTTATAAATTTTGGTATAAAACATGAGAATGCAATGTTACTTATATGTCATAGAATCACTCTTAAATTAATTAGATCTCATCATAAATACTTCTAAAGATCATGCAAACACTTCCTTATACTGTTTGTATTACATCAACAATAGAAAGTTACATATACTCACATCTTAAACATAAAAGCAATTTCTCACTTTCTCACTTTCCCTAAAATATGGTCACGAACTGTTCAAGCAAATGGTAATCCCATAGACCAAATCAGAGAACATATATAAGTAATTAGTCACAATGTTCTCGAGTATACAATTCTTTATATTTATACTTTTTATAACGTCTTAAACCCAGTTAACAACTGTTTTTCTAATTGTTCAGATGTTTTCAGATGTTTTCCGAATGCCAAACGAACGAAGAATTTCAGCCAATTGTTTTTGCTTGGCGAAAAAGCCACAAGCCTTCGATGGGTATTAATTACTTGTTAGTAGACCTCAGGGAGCCACTTGCCTCCCCTTTTTGGTCAAGCTTCTGTTTTACGCCCACGCGATAGCGACAATAAAAGTAATTAGCATAGAACGGAAACCAGGAAAACGAGACGTGGGATCGAATGGTAACAATAATAAAATAAATAAATTAAGCAAATAGAAACTACACGTCTAGAACGAAGGCAGATGAAATAAAGAGAGAGTTGACTGCAGATTACCCTTTATTTATTAAAAAATTATTCATGTCATAAACAATATTAATAAAAGGAATATTTTAATAAATTTTAACTAAATTCTATCATTTAAGTTTATTTTATATTATTGTAATGTATTTTAATGTATTTAAATTCGTTTATTGAAATAAATAAATTCGTTAATGAAAAACTCCACAACTAAACTAGTGTTTTAAAAAACTTGTTTTATAAAATTGTAAATTATTCTTAAGCAGAAAATATTTAAAGACACAGAAATCTATAGATAATCGTTATTGAGATTGAAAATATATTAAAATATGAAAACATATTTAGCTTAACTACCCTCTCATTATAGGGTATTCCAGACGAAGGCGACGAATGAACGTAATGGTAAATAAAAGCCAAAAAATGCCGAGCTCAGCTCAGGTCACGTAGAGAACGAAAGTGAAAACAAGACCAGAGAAACGAAGACGCCGCCCAGACGGCTGACAGAAGAGTCTAATAGGAAAGCTGACCGCAAAACTATGATTTAATTTCGGCAGAGGGGTGGGTGGCATAGAACCATGTCTCAATTGGCAGAAAGTGAGAGCGCAGCGTTCTGCAGTCGACAGATACGAGAACTCAACAAAAGCCAAATGTCGATCGGATTGGGGCAACATTTCCATGGAAACCATCGACCCAAACACTCGAATGATGATGATGCTGCTGCTTCTCTGGGTGCTACTTGTTGGACCTTCAGTTTTTGGGTGAGTTACAAAATAAAGCAGTGGAAATGATTTCACAACTAATGTCGTTGCTCAACCAATAGCTCGCCTTTGGAAATTCAACTTCTAGATATGATGCTGCAGGAGGCTGAGGGTAATCCCAGCAATGACCGGGATCAAAGAGATATATCCGTTTTGCCAGCAACTTCTATAGGTTGCGATGAAAGCGGTTCGCCGGAGGACTTTAGCCACTTATTTGAAGATTATGAGGAAAGCAATGAGGAGTGTGTGGAGTTTTTGCCACCCTGTGAGTCATCTTTTGCGGAAGGACTACCTATCGAACATCCATGCTTTGTAAAATTACTGCTGCTGAGAACACCACTGCTAAAGCAAGATCCTTGTGCCAATTTTTCCTTAATACCAGAAAAACCAATCACCACCATAAAACCTGAGATCAAAAAATGCAGGCCCAAAAATAAAGCAAATAAAAATACAACCGAAAAAGTGTTGCTGGGGCTGCCCAATAATGGCACAGAGAGTTCAACAAATATATCACCAAATAATTCAACAACAGAAGCACAACTTGATTCGAAAATTATTAAAATAAGGAAATTAGTTCCCAAATCAACTACAACAACAACAACAACGAGCACCACGACAACTTTGGAAACAACAACTTCAGAAGAAACCACCATTACAGAAGAACCGCCAGCGACGACAACTGAACTGGAAGCCACAACAACAACACCTACCACAACAACAACAACTAGTGCCACAACAACTACTACACAACTACCTTATACCGAAAACCAATTGAAACGTTTGAAAGCCTTAAGAAACAGGAGAAAGAATCAAAAGGGAAACTCTCCAAAAGTCCCTGATCCACCGAAAATAAAACTAGATAATGCCAGTCAGCCCAGCGAGGTTATCCAGGTAATCATGACCACCGAAGCGGCCGAGTTGAGACTGAAACCGGAAGCTAGCACCACCACAACGGTCATGCCCACGACGACTGTTTCTACAACCACTTCCGAACCGGAAACCAGCACCGAAGAGAGTTGCGAAGATGATGTGGAAACCACCAAGGTGCCGGAATTCTCTGGCTGTGAAGATGAAGGTAAGTCGGGCTAAGTTTATAAACATTTCAAAAATGTAGTTTACTTTTTTCTAAGATTTACCAGCAAATGATAAAACTGAAAACAATGTCGTCACCACCACAGAAGAACCTTGTGAGGACACCGATGAGCAAAACACCAATCTGTGTCCCCAGTTTATGCCCGCCCAAGGGAGTTGTAAGTATAACTAAAAAAGTTAGTTATTTGTAAATGACAAGAACATTTTTGTTGAAAAAATATGATGTTAAAGTCTCCAATGTTCTCCAACATTCAGCAGCACATCAAAAACCTCCTCCTGCATTTCGATTCCGCAAGCCGGTGAAGAACTATGTGGAACCAATTTTGTATGAAGGAAACTTTGCTAAGCCACTTCAACGAACGGCGCCAATAGGACCCCAGCAGAGAGATTACTTTGTGTCCAACAAACAAATAGTTCCCAGGCCAAGACCTAAATACCGGAAACGTATACCGCCCTCAATTTATATGAACAACATTGTGCGGGGCTTGGATTGCAGCGATGAAGGTGGTCAATATCCACCAAGGACTCCCAATCAGCCACAAAGATATTGGGATGTAAGTCCTGTTGACTTTTCTCAAAGAAGTCAGGGCTTGAAAAAAATGAGACCTGAGAAAAATATGAGAAGTTTTGCACCAGTTCCAATTAAGAGACAGCCTTTCTATCCGAGAAGTTCAGAGGAAAATATGGAGAGGCAATTCTTGAGGGAAAGGGATACAGAAACACAATATCGTCACTATCCTGATGAGGAGTTGTCGCAAGAGGAGCGGCTAATGCCACCTGCCACGCCCACACCCAGCTTGGATCCCTGTCAGGAGGAGCACGATCGAACCTTTTATAGTCGGAGACCAATTCGCCCGCAAAAGGAACAGCTAGTAGATTATCCTCAACCACCCATTTCGTCGCACTTTTTCACCTAATTAACCCTTAACCATTATTTAGCCAAGTAGCACACAGAGCACCCAATAAGCAGTTAAACACCAGAAATAAACAAATGCACCACCAACAAAAAGCCCAAAACCTATCATCAATCAAGTGGAGCCAAGCCTAATAATTAGGGAACCTCTTTGATCTTGAAGGAGGGACAGCGTCAGCAATTGAATTATAAAGCAATTGCCTTTCAGTTGGTGGTCAAAGAAGGGGGCGGGTGGGGCATTGCCTGGTGAATGCCCACTTATCAGTCCAAAGACGTGGCTCAATTCACTAGCCGAAAAGGCACGCGCCCGTAATGACAAACCCATCAGCGACCATGGCCACCTGATGGCCCCAAAAGGCTGCTTTGTGGTGGCCACCCACTAATGTACATCGTGATGGGCTAGTGGGCCTCCTATTGGAATCCTATTTTGCCTTTTATTCTGGCTTATTTTTTGTTATGTTAAACACTGAGGATAACCCTTCTGAAGTCAGGAATAAATTATTAAAGAATCTGATTTTAAAGTTTAAGCAAACACTGTATAAAATGAAAATGGATCCAAAGCTGGTAAAAAAAAAATCTTACAAGGTAATTTAACAATTATTATCTTGTTAAAAAGAATGTGCTTTTAACAATCGGAAACCAGTTATAATAACATATTCGATTTTAAACATACAATTTTAATTTCCTCAGTATTAGAATCGTAGGTTGCAAGCTTTTTCCAAAATCACAGCTCTCACATGAATGGATTAAGAGGGAGAAGCTTTTAATTGTTTTGGTTTAACAAGAAACTGTTTCAAACATAAAAGATGTAGAAAATTAAATGATTAACAAAATCAATAAATAATTTATAATTATTTTACCCCCCTTATAGGTATAAAGGTATGTGCAAAAAAATTTTTTGTTTTGTATTTAATTATAATAACTCATATGACCAGCGCTAAATATTGTAGGTGAGTGGCTAACATATGACTGTCGGAAAAGCCAAGCACGACAAGGGGCCAAATCAAAAAGAGCACTTTCCGGCCCACAGGAGTTTCCCGGCGAAAATTAAAGCCAAAAAACAAATTAGTTTGCCCAAGCCACCGCTTTCCCGCTCGGTTTTTTCTCTTAGCCGCGGCGAATTGGCATCCCGCTTGGAGGCTGACATTGTAAATGTCACACACAGGACGCATCAAAGGCGGCGGCGCCCAGAGAAAGAGCGGGAGAAAGTGCGGCGGGAGCGTGCGAAAGTGCGGCGAGAGAGGGAGAAAGTGCGGCGAGAGCGAAAAGCAATCGGCGGTAGAGGGGTTATTTGGAATTCGCCCGCTTGGTGGGTACTGATTTTCAGGTTCTCCTGGCTCTTCGCCCAGTGCGGACGTGTTTTTCTCGCTTTCCTCCGCTTTCCACGCTTAGTGCGGCCAAAAACTGCAAAACGGTAAAAATCCAAAAAATAATTGAATAACAACAAAACGAAAATAATTAAAAACCTCTAGCCTAAAAGCGAAACCAAGCCAATTAAACAAAAAAAAAACGAAATCAATTGCTAAACCACCCAAACGAAGAATAAGTGAAAATTTGCTAAACACTCTGAAAGTGCATTTAAGTCATAAATAACTACGAAAGTATACATATTTAACTTCTAATCTGAAGTTGGTTAAATCCGAAATTTATAAAAGCTTGTTGTTTATACCTTGCGCTAATGAGCAAACCGCTTAGAGTAAATCGATAATGAATTTAAAAATAAATCAATCAATCTCCGTAAATTTATACAACCAAACACTGCCAATGTGAGCCCATCTATTTAAAAACGAGAATAACCAACCTGAAGATAGCCGAAAACAATAGTTAACCAGCATTTAAACGGTCTTCAGAGTATTTGCAACTGAAACTGTGACAGTATCCAACGGTAACTGGGTCAGTAGGCAGAGCCAAAGTAACGCCCCTCATCGAGGGCTTTACCACCCTCTACCCACCACCTTCATCCTTCTTCTTCGACTCCTGCTTTTCAGCTTGGTAAGCAACTTATTCTTTGCACCCCCTAGTTCTTAGATCTCAGCTATGGATACTCAGCCGTAAGCTTAGAAGGATTTCAAAGCCAATTTGAATTTTGATCGAAGTGGAGTGCAGGATATTGTGCGTTGACTGTGATTAGCTCTTGTTAGAATCAGCTTTATTGTGATTCTGTTGAGTGCCAAGGATAAAAACAGGTCAGTAGGGCCCCAAGAGCCAAGCTGCCTTGTTGTGTTCTCACGGGGGATATGTTTTTGGCATTTTGACAGCCTTGCCAAATGTGTGATTGGTGTAGGCCAAAATTAAGCAAAAAAAAACGATAGAGACAAATATAAATTTACCAATAGATAGCATAAAAACTGGAAAACAGAAATAAAAAAACTAATTGTTATAATATTTTAAAACATCTACGTTTCTAGAATAAAATCTCCAATGAAAATCTTACTTATTTCTTAATAAATTAATATTCTAAGCAACATTAGGTTTTGGTGTTTCACCTAATTTTTATTAAAACTTAAAAAAAAAGCTATACTATAAATTTAAAAAGTTTACATATTTACTCACTAAGTAAAATAAAGTTCCCTTTAAAATATTTAAACTAGATAATCCCACAACAAATTTAAAAAAAAAAGTTGCCAACATTTTTTAGCTTCATCGTATTGCTAAAACATGTGTTAGAACAAATAAAAACAAGGTTTCCACAATTGAAAATGATTGATCTATCTCCAGCAACGCTATCTTCAAATATTGATCAATAAATAGAAAACAGACCCCACCTTTCGAGCCAAAAAAATACAATCAAGCTACTTCGCAAGTGACTCAGGGATTATTCCAGACAACTGAAAGCCATTAAATTAGCCACTTTGCCAGCCTCGGTTAGTTCGAGCACACTATTCCAATATTATATAGCCTTCCGTTTAACTACTTTTGTCGACCAACTGAGCAAACAAGTCACTGCCAAAGTTGAATCGCTACCGACTGGCAAACCAAACATGTGAGCTAATGACCATTGGCTGGGCCTCTTTCTATATTCCCACCTGTCTGCCGTTTCTGCAACTATTTTACATAATAGCAAGTACAAAAAAAACAAATAGCTGGTAATGTTTTGTAGATTACAAACAAAGGGAATCGAAGGGCAAACGAAAGCCCACAGAATATTGCCGTTAAATAAAAACCCCAAATGTTGTCACATAATCGAAGAATACCATTCATGGTTGTACCCACATCAACGTCGTTCGTATCTATATCTTGGCATTCCGATACGCAACCTTCGCGGAAATCGATTAGAAGACAAGCCCCACAAGATGCTGTCAGCTAATCCAATTCATTTAGGATCTAAGCTACCCTAAGCCACGGAACCACAGGCTTATAATTAGCACGAGTACGTGGTTCTCGGGTGGCAATGGATACTGAATACTGAACTAAAAACTGAGTGCAGGAATGAGTATAATTACACGCGGGACAGGTATGTCAAGTGACAGCGTGTGTCCTTTAAGTACATCCTGCTGATGGCTTTTGATATGGAAATCCCAGGGAGATAAATGGGGAGAGGTAGAGAGTATTATGTTTAATACAATTTTTCTCTTAAAGGGAGAAGCCAGTATCATTCTTGACATAACCGAACCATATTGGTATACCGTCGTCTTTCGGTTGGTTGTGTTAACGGGGGAGTTATATTACCTTGGGTATTGCTGCCTTGATGGATTAATCATTATCATCTACATACATAACATATAGGCTAATGAAATAAAATGTTCACCCAACATATATATATGTATTTTCTTACCTAGAACTCGTTAAGAAACTTGTTCATACTAAAACATAAAAATGCGCGTAACTTTTGGTCTACAAGTCTTGGTCCAAAAGGATAATCAACAAAACTTAATTTCTTGTTTGGTGTTTTTGTGATAAAGAAAAGTTAAAATGTCTACGCAAGAAGTTTATTGTCGACTTTAACAAATTTATCTTGTTTACTTGGTCCATCACAATGCATGTACAACGTTTCATTGCTTATAAATATATAAACTTATCATCCTACTCATATTCAGTTTTCAGGCTGAGTTGAATGAGCACTCGAACTTTGTTTCGCCATATGTCAATGCAATTTACATTTGTTTACCTGCCGACATGAATATGTAAATAAGGTTCAATTGAATTGCCGTATGTCACTGAGGATTTTCGAGCATGCCGAGTTTTATTTACATTTCTCTTTAAGACCACCTGTTCTCCCATTGAAATTTAATCAAAATGTTCAATACAAATTCAGCATAGAATGTATACAGTTTCATGATGGGCAGTGTTGGGAAGGGCCATAAAAAGCACTCATCGATAGACACACATACATGCGTGCTACATTGGCTGGCATCCACCTTCCCGGCAAAAGTCCTTGGCTATATTTAGCAAGTCTCTTTTTTAATGGCCTACAGTTGCTCGAGAGTTCCTCATAAGGTGCGTTACTGCTACTCTCTTTTATATCTACAGATATAAAAGAAATTAAAACAATAAAACATTTTTTATTAAGAATTTTTGTTTCAACTGCCATAATATTATTAATATTATTATTTCTGTTAAACAATTAAAATTTATTAGTAAAGAAAAATTAAATAAAATGTTACTAAGAACGCAATTTTTGCCTGAAGTTATCAATGACACTCGACGCAAAGTGTTGTGGCTTGGCAAATGTTTGAAACGGCAACCTGACCAAGTTCCACATTCATCTGCTGTCATCCATTTCGCAACGCTTTTAACGCGACCTTACCCACAAAATGGCTCTCCCCAACCTCCTTTCAATACCCACTTCTCGTGTGACACTATTAAACCACATAAGCGGGGAAACAAAAATCAATACTGACAACAACAACAACTACATTTTGCTTTCATTTGCTGGTTTTCGCACACACGGCAAAATTGGAAATTTCATTTACACTTGACACGAGTCGCCTTTTCCTCTTTTATCCCATTTTCCACCACCATCACCCACTATTTTCCTCTTTCGTGTCATTTTCCTCTCATAAGCAGAATACACGTGTTTGGTTACAAAACAGTGACAGTTTTCCATATCCCATAGGCGC